CTCACAAAAAGAAAGATTTACATATAGATTTATGTACAAGGATATTTATCACAGCAGTGCTTGTAATAAGAAAAGTAGGAAATTAGCCTATATGTCTTATGATGATTACATTCTGATCTGATATGGTGTCGTAGTTGCAGTTAAAATTATGTTTCTGATGAACTTTTAATCACACAGGAAATGCTCACCATACAGTGTTATATGAGAAAAAGTTATAAATACATTATGATCTTAACAATGTGACAGTACATATCTTCATAGGAAAAAGACAGGAAGAAAATTCAATGAACCATTGTTGTTCTTTTTTAATGGTGGGATTTGGGATAATTTATATTTTTGCATACATTTCCATACTTTTCATATTGTTACAATTTGAGTCCTTTCTATGAAAATTATATTTTTAATAAAATATGAAAACTGCTTTGGTTTTAAAAAATGTTAACACTTTTTCTTAAGTAGCACAATGCTTATTGTAGAGAATTTTTAAAAAGTATTAAATACACTGAAGTGCTGGCCAGTGTGCCTCAGTTGGTTGGAGTGTCCTCCCATACATCAAAAGGTTGTGGGTTTGATTCCCTGTCAGGGTACTTGGCTCAGTTACGGGTTTGGTCAGGGTGCTATGAGAGGCAGCCAATCGATGTTTCTCTCCCTCTTTCTCTCACTCCTTTCCCTTCTCTCTAAAATCAAAATGGTGAGGATAAATGGGGGGAAAATGCACTGAAGCCTATAGAAAGTTGAATGAATGGAATAAAGAGAAATACTTTTTGAAAACAGGAAGGTATATATTTTTGACTATATAATATTACTGGAAAATTTGGGTGAACAAAATTAAAAACAATTATCTCTGGTCCCCAACACTCAACTCATCACCATTGCCTCGGCATTTACAGAATCTTTTTTTGTGTGTGTGCATGAAGATAATACATATACATACATATAAATTGGAATCATAACTTATCCTGTCTTCTGTCCTGATTTTTCTCTTAATATTAGATTGTAAGCAGCTAGACTGTATTATGAGGTTTGTATATGAGGCCATATAGCAGATCCACATACAGTTTTGTGTACAGAACATTTGCAATAGCTGCTTCAACCTTATAGGTTAAACATGTCCTCAGCTTTCTCTGGACATTTCTGAATGACAGGCAATCTGAGTGTGCTAAAGTGAATTAATTGACTAGCTGGTGCTGGAAGTATCCCTATTAGAAATGGAATGGGGTACAGTAAAAGGGACCTTACAGTACCGAGCCTGTGTCCCTGGCAATTTTATCAAGACACAGGAGCCATGAGATACAGAGATTGTATTTACTCATGAGGAGCTTCAACATGCAAAGTGCATTAACTAACAAAATTAACCTTGGCAAGTAAAGGCTGTTCCTATTTTGGCAGGATCCCCTTGTGCCCTTTGATATGTTAAGAACTCCAAATAAGGGCTGTAGCTGGCAATTGTCTTGTCATCCTAGCAAAGGTCTATTGATGTGCTATCAGTTGATGAAGGTTAGTCAGCTACATGTTCTTCTAGTACACCATGCCCTAGCAGGTGCTTTTGAGGATTGAGATTATGCCCAAATGAAGGAAAGTGTGTGTTAAAACTTTCTACAGAGTTTACCGGAAAAGCAAGACATTTGTAGATACTTGTGTTAGCTGTTCTTCATTAAGTTCTTGATCTTGGGTGAAAGAATGGTATAACTCTTTGAGTTTCCTTAACAGTGCAAAAAGTACGATTTGTATCATTTATAAGGAGGCTGCTTTTCTCAGGAATTTGTTGTTGTGGTTACTTAATGTTTGCATACCACACTAGGACTGTGAATTACAGCCTTTACAGTAAGTAAAGAGGAAATTAATCTTTATATGTAAAAGGCAGCTTCCTAATAATGTAAACACAAGGTGGTAATTTATAGCACCAAGCAAATGGGTTGATTAGAAAGAGCTCCCAATCTCTTAAGGTCATGGGTTAATTCTAGAATGCATTCTAACTCATTAATCAATGGCCAGTTGATTGTTTATAAAGGAGTAACTAATGGCATTTAATAGCAGAACTGGGGGACTTGACTTGTTTCAAGAATTTTTAATGTTTATTTGATGCAAGACAAGTAGCTGTGGATAGAAGTTCCAGGAGTATGTGATGTTTTTCTTGTGATGTTTTTCTTTTTTTTTTAAGACAAGATATTTAAATAAACAACTTTTATCTGGAAAGTTTTGCCTTTTCAATCTAGTTTTTTTTCATGTTAAATTAGTGCTATTGACATTAAGAATAATCACCTTTTAGAGCTGGAAAATACTTCCAATCCCCTAGCTCAACCCTTGTACTGAGCTGACTTTGGTAAAGAAGGTAGTATGCAAATGAAATGTGTGGTGAGGATTGGGGATTGACCTGCTGTATAATTCTCATTTTTCCTGTCCCTAATTCTTTGCTTAATTTTTTGCCTTGGTCTTTTATATGTGTATATGTGATATATATGATACTGTCTCTCTTTTAATGTACAATAACATACAATCTCTGGCCCGGGTTGATGTTTCTTTATTCTGTGTTTTTTCACTCAATTGTAACTCTCACCCTCATAGATGTCTGGGGCATTTCACAGCATTGGAAGCAAGAGCCATTAAGCATTTCTTTTAGCTAAATTGCTCCCATTTTGTAAGGCCTTGGGTCTTCTTAACTGATCTCCAGCAGCTTTGGGTTAATTTATGTTCCCCTCTGATGGATAATATTTGACTCTGCCAGGAAGGATAAAAAACCATTGTTAAAAGATTTTTTAAATGACTGTAGATACAAAGAAACTCTAAAGGTAGCAATATCACCTCAGGTATTATAAATAGTATCCATTTATTGAGCATCTATTGTGTGCCAGACCTTATCTATATGAGGTAAGTTAGTAATAGCTCCATTTTATGGATGAGGCATCAGAGAGTCAGAGAAATTAAATCTTTTGTCCAATCAGATAACAGAGTTCATAAATGAGAGATCCCATCCTTTCCCACTATGTCATTCATGCTGCTTTAGATATGTAGCATGCTACGGTGTTTATTTCCATCCCTACATTAAGTGCTCATTCATGAGCCCTAGGAGTAGTGGTTTCTTGATATTTAGAGCATAAATTCTTAAGCCTCCAAACTGAAAATTGAAAGGGAAAAAAACCCTGATCACAGACACCATATTTCAAATGCTTGCAAACTATTTCCTTTCTGACTCTCTTTTCAGACACCAATAGCGTCACTTAAAACAGACTCCCTGAGCAGCATTTTTCATGACTACAAGCAGTTGCTGTAAGGGAGATCTAATTTCCAATTAACTCAGCTTCTGATCGTCGTGGAATTCTGGTTTACACTGCTCCTGGCTGAGTTCTCTCTTAGTCACCATGTGTCTTATAATTGGCTTCAGGCATAATGATTCTGAAGGGATGATTGCTAGGTGTCTAAGGACTACACAGTGTTTCTTCAGCAGTGAAGCCCTGACTCTAATCCTGAATTCTGAATAACGGAGAAAAAGTGGAGATGAGCATTGCAGAGATTAATGAAGTTGCTGTTGATGGCTATGGACCATGACCTGAATGTCTTAATTTGTGTTCTATTCCTCACTGTAGAAAGAAATGTCATAGGAAGAAATGGGGGAGCAGGATGTGAAAGAATCACACAGCAACATCAGAGCTGCTTGTTTGTTAGGAGGAACAGATGCAAACGTTATTTTCCCTTTTTCCTTACAGCAAATTATATTTCCGTTGATGTTGTACCTAATTGGTTTGGATTTTAGAATTTAAATTATGTCTGCCATCCTTAAAATGTCTCTGAGGCAAAAAGCACAGGAAAATAGTGCCATTTAACAGGGCCAGTGAGAATAAGTTTAAGGAGAAACATACTTAAGAGATTAAAATCTTTAACACTTATGTTGTGGGTGTGTGGCGGACAAAAAGTAAATCTGAAATAACCTGGTATTCTTACATATTTTCCAGTTATTTTTCTGTGTTGTCTTGTAAATATACTAATTATTTGGTTGAGTCTGTTATACATTTCATCTCTATCTCTGTCTTCCCTCCACCACCCCCACTGGAAAAAAAAAACCTCGATATTACTGCATAAATTCCTTATGAACTTAAGGTCAACTTGTATATCCCAATTTGTACCCATGGCATAAGGAACACCTAAGAACTGATTTTCAGAAAACGTGTGTGTTTACCTCTTGGGTGTTTCATTATTTTTCTTGGCCTCAAGCATTTCCTAGGCAGGTTTTTTACTTGTCATGTAGATATAAGGAAGAGAAAAGAAAAAAAAATTGTTTCCAAGTAAAACAACACCTTTTGAAATACACCTGTCCTGGTGTCAGCTTACAGTTAGGAGGCATTATTAACATTGGTTTAGATTCTTGCAGCAGAAAGTTCTGAGTAACTTCATATTGTAGACTTCATAGACCCATTTTTTTTCCTGTTCTGTATTTACCTTGACTGCAGGAGAGACAAAAGTGAGTGTATACATGTGTGTATGTTTATTTTGTACTGACTCTTGATAAGTTGTTTGTTTAAAATTTCATTTTTCCATCTCTCTGACATATACACATATGTAAGTGACTTTGTGATGTAGATTACTTTTTTTAAACAAAGTGTTTTTTTTAAAGTTGTATTTATTTTTTTAGAGAGAGGGGAAAGGAGTGAGAAAGAGGGAAAGAAACATCAAAGTGTGGTTGCCCCTCGCACACCCCCCCAATGGGGACCTGGCCTGCAACCCAGGCATGTGCCTTGACTGGGAATTGAACAGGCGACCCTTTGGTTCACAGCCCACGCTCAATCCACTGAGCTACGCCAGCCAGGGCTGTAGATTTCTTTTCATTGACAAATGACCACAGATGCCAAATTCACCAAAAGAAATTCACCCTATTTCCAAGCATGTTTTTCGATTTAATTTCATGATTTTTGTTTTCAAATTTGCCTGAAAAACACCTGATTATTTAATTATTGAAAACCCTCTTTTTCTCCCTCCCTCCCTCCCCTCTTTCTTTTTTGTTTTAGAATTCTTCAAAGAACTACTTGAAAATGCAGAGAAATCCCTGAATGATATGTTTGTGAAGACATATGGCCACTTATACATGCAAAACTCGGAGCTTTTTAAAGATCTCTTCGCAGACTTGAAACGCTACTATGTGGTGGGAAATGTGAACCTGGAAGAAATGCTAAATGATTTCTGGGCTCGCCTTCTGGAGCGGATGTTCCGCCTGGTTAACTCCCAGTACCACTTCACAGATGAGTATCTGGAATGTGTGAGCAAGTATACTGAGCAGCTGAAGCCCTTTGGAGATGTCCCTCGGAAATTGAAGCTACAGATTACTCGTGCATTTGTAGCAGCCCGTACTTTTGCTCAAGGCTTAGCAGTTGCAAGAGATGTAGTAAGCAAAGTCTCTGTGGTAAGTGCTATTTGCATTGTGTTTTTGTTTTATTTTTTTAAAGATAGTTTGGAGGAGGTAGAGAAATAAATCAGTAGAATTCTATTGGCTCAGTAACACTCTTCTTTCCTTTTCTCTTCAATTCTTTTGCCTCTTTTCTCCTACACTTTGTGTTTATACTTGTACCTTATATAGTTATAAACAATACTATGATGAACATCTTTATATATCATTGTCATTTTTTTTCAGTGGATTTTTGGTAGCTATTTTTAGAAATAGGATATATGTTCAGTTTTGAACCTTAATTTAAAATGGGTTTAATACCTCCATACTTTTTTTTAAATTTATAGCTCATATTCCAGTTCCCTTCCAGAGGAAGTAACATATACAAGCAGGCTCCCCATTATGTTGTTTTGAGTGACTACATTTGAGTCTACTAGTTACAGTCTAGAAAAGCATTGAACATCCATTACTGCATGTTTCCTTGCTATGAGGTGTATCCAGAGTCTTTAACAACACAGCTTTCTGTGACAATTAATGTGAACCACCAGCTCTTGACTCATGTATGGCTTTGTTTATAGTACTACCAGTAGGGAAAATGAAATTGCAATATGTGGGCTAACGCAGATCACATGAGCCACATTTTCCTCATTCATAAATTAAAGGAATTGGACTAGACTCATATTTTTCAGACTCTGTTCTTTGGAGCCAACAAAGGAGGTAATTCAGGTGCCTCCTTGAGGAGAGAAGCAAGGGAGATGGGTGTCTTCTAGTGGGTGAGAATCTGCATCTGTGACCTAACCTCCTGGCTCCACCAGAGAAGCTTTGCTTTCCTCATTTTTATGTTTGTAGGGTTTTGAGTAGGACTTCAAGGGGGGAAAGGTTCTGTGATTCCTTCACTCCCCTAACTCCCCAAGGTGAAATTTTAAAACTTGAAGACCTTTCCACTTCTACCCTTCCATCATTCAATACCAGTGAAGAAATAGAATATACTGGGCCAAAGTTATCTTTGCAAGATTTATCTTGCTGCTATCCTTTAGGTCCTCAAAGGAAAAGCCAAATTTTAGTCCATTTCTAAAACACGTGGGGACAAAATGATAATAACTTATATTGGGTTGGCCAAAAAGTCCGTTACCTTTTTTTTCCATAAGATAAAAGACACAGTTTTTATTTTCACCAAAAATTATTGATTTGGATATTTTGAGTGTGTCTGTTATCTTCCACTATTGGCTTCTAGTGGATAGAGGCCAGGAGTGTTTCTAAAAGTCTTCCAATGCATAAGACAGCCCTGCAGCATAGAATTGTTTGGCCAAAATGTCAATACTACCAAGAAACTTCACAAACCACTTTTGACATGTTTGATCAGTCATAGCACCTTCTCCATACACCGCTTAAATCTTTTTTTGCATTTTATTGTATTTTTTACCTTTTTTGAAATAATAAAGTATAATATGCCCAAAACGTTGTGTATCTACTTCCATCTTCAGTATTAAGATAGCTGTACAAAAATTCACCAATCTTAGTAAGTTTTTTTTAGATTTTATTTATTTATTTTTAGAGAGAGGGGAAAGGGGAGAAAAAGAGAAGGGGAGAAACATCTATGTGTGGTTGCCCCTTATGTGCCCCCTAGCAGGGACCTGGCCCACAACCCAGGCATGTGCCCTGACTGGGAATCAAACTGGTGACCCTTTGGTTCACAGGCCAGAGCTCAATCCACTGAGCCACACCAGCCAGGGCTTATAATGATTTTTTTAATGCATGCTGATATGAAAGCTGTCACAATATAGTCTAACAAAATTGTCTCAAATGAAGTTAAAGACAACTAAGCACCACTAGAGCTGTAGCAGGGAAAAAACATAATGAACATTTTGGCCAACTCAATACTTGCTTTGAGGACTAGGGAAAGGTCAATAAAAACTGAACAGCAATGCAAACACTAAATTAACAACCTGATTGCCTATCAGAGAATTCATTTAGAGTTAACGTGATGATACAATGTATTGCCCAAACTGAAACACTAATTTAGATCAGGAGGTGCTTATTGATCATTATACCCAGACAACATGTGCTGCTAATTTTTAATAAGGAATCAGGACTGTCTTGGATAGACCAGGATGCATGGTTACCCTAGTTAGAGAGGAAACTAACATTCACCAAAGTGAAGATAGAGATGCTAAAGAATTGTGTGTTGTTAAAAAAGTAGGTGTCCATGGGATATTTTGTATTAGAATTGGGTGATAATAAGGATTTGTTAATTAGTTACATTCATTATTACTGTTTTACTCCTCTCTCATCTCTGAGTCAGTAACTTTCAGGAAACAATTATTTCCAGCATGATTTTGTTTACTTTTTTTCTTCATGATATTTTCATTGTGAATTGCAAAATGTTGGGGCATATAAGGTTGGGTGGGAGCAAGTAGGGAGATCATGGCTATAATTGGAGGAATAATCTGGTTCCTGAACTTCTGCCAACCTCAGCAACCATTATTCATCTTAGAGATGCTCTTGTCAGAGTCCTTCAACAAAGGTGCAATTAACCCAAATCAGTTATTTTCAGTATAGTTCACTGAACATTTTCCCTCTTGCAATAATTTCTTGTGTTCATCCTAAGCTGAAGAGGTGGAAAAGTACCTCTGTGTGCTTTGCATGTCTGTGTATATGTGTGTGTGTGGTCACACAAGTGCAGAGAGGAAAATCAAGGGGGAGAACGCCCTCCTTGCAAGCATTTGAATATTTGTGGTTTGTTTACATTAACCACCCACCTTCCTTTGAGTTGATTCTTAGGAAGAACCAGGCAGCTGGCTGAAGACTGTCTTGTTGTTAGCCTTATTTTGCAAGATTGGAACCCCCTTAGGGAACTGAGATTCCAGAAAACCCAGGTTGGGGGGTGGTTGATGAAACAAGGAAGCAGTTTAGAGACAACTCAGTGCAGTTTAAAAGATGAAGGGGTAGAAAAGCTTGCCATTGTCCATATCATCCCACCCCCCAGAGCTTAGAGAAAAGTAAGAAGTTGTGGCTTCTCTGTGTAGTATTCTTGACATGGTTCTCAAAAATAACTGTGGAAAATCAGGAAGCTTGACTTTTGTTTTTAAGTTTCATATACCCTTACCTATGCAATAAAGAGTATGTGACCCAAAATGAAATAGTCACAATCAATTTCTGATGGTTCTTTTGGTATTTTTTTAAAGGAGGAAATAGATTTCTTGTTTAACATCATATTGTTAAATTGTTTGAGAAAATTACTTTCTAAACATAACTCTAATTTTTAAATCATCTGTATTCTATATTCATTGCAGTTTCCTATCTGCCTAAGAAATATTTGCATAGTTATGAGAATATGATGAATACAAGCTATAGAGGTTATTTACTTTGAATAAACATTACTTTCCAATTGTTTAGTTGACAACACTGTTTTATGACTACTTTAAATGTTGTAATTGAAAACTTTTAAAAATATTTTACTTCAATACTGAGTTTCTTCTAGACTTAAGGACTGACTTGAAATCAAACTCTTCAACTAAGTTGGGTTATCAAAGTTATACATACAATAATAAGCTTTGACCAGCATGGCTGAGTTGACTGGACATAGTTCCACAAAGCAAAAGGTTGGTGATTTGATTCCTGGTCAGGGTACATGCCTGGATTGTGGGCCAGGTCCCCCATTGGGGGCATGTGAGAAGCAACCGACCAATGTTATACTTTTGTACATCAGTGTTTCTTTCCGTTTCTTGCTCCTCGCCCCTCTCTAAAAATAAGTAAAATTGTTTTAACAAATTATAAAATAATAATTACTCAGGAATTTCATCAGCTTTTAAAGGTGCTAAAACACAAATTAGGTAAAAACATGTCAACTATGTAATATTTCTGATTAGAAGAAGCATGCAAGGAATACTTGGAAACATATTTCCCATTTGTTTCCCAGGCATAATTTTTGGAGTATGCCTACCAGTTAAACAGATTTTGTTTTGGACTTTTTGGGGGGTTTCTTTCTTTTCTTTTCTTCTCTTTTCTTTTCTTTTCTTTTCTTTTCTTTTCGAATGTATGGTGATAGAAGTAAACAGATTTTAAAATTTTTATTGAATTTAATGGGGTGACATTAGTTAATAAAATTATATACATTTCAAGTGTAGAAGTCTATAGTACATCACCTGTATATTGTATGATTGGTTTACCACCCCAAGTCAAGTCTCCTTCCATCACCGTTTTTCTCCCCATTACCCTCTTCTACCTCCCCCACCCCCCCCCACCTCCCTTCTCCTCTGGTAATCACCATGTTGTTGTCTGTCTGTGAGTTTTTGTTTTGTTTTTTTTTTAAATTTGAGGTACAGTGGTATGGGGAAACCAATAAATGATCTGGCTCTCAAAAACATTTCAAATTGAACATGTCAAATAATATACATTTGATTAGTAAAAGATGTAAGCTTGTCTACCAGTTTGGGTACCCAAGCAATGTTTTTTTCGTATGGGTTCCCACTTCTGTCAACTGCTCTTCTAAACGTACAGTAGTTTGCAGGTGAAACTAGAGCAGCCTAAGAGATGGATGTTCCTTCTTTCGGTGTCTAATAGAATTAATTACCTTGGGTCTGAAAAAGACCTTTCAGAGTAGAGAATGTATATCCTAATTAAAGAGAGCCACCTCACCTACTTCATATATAAAGAGGTCTTTAATTTCAAATATGAAAAGCATCACTGCCTTGTGGCTAGTTATTGCATACTTAAAGATGTCTCCACTTTCTTTTTATGAGTGTATGACCTGCTTTTCCAGCTCACTTTTGTAACAAAAGGGTTGCAGACATACATTGAACAATGATTTGATAATCATTAAACTTTTTAAAACAAGCTTCACCGGAGGATATGTTTTTATTCATTTTAGAGAGAGGGGAAGGGGTGAGGGTTGAGAGAGATTGGTTGTCATACATGCCCTGACTGGAAATCGAATCCACAACCTTTTAGTTTACTGGACAGTACTCCAACCTACTGAGCCACTTATCCAGGGCTGATTATCACTAAGCCTTTTTTTT